ACACAACCAAAAAACAAAGGAGAACTAAAGATTGAATCCAACACAACAAAAAGCAAAGGAGAACTAAATATTGAATCCAACACCACCAAAAAACAAAGGAGAACTAAAGATTGACTCCAATACAACCAAAAAATAAAGGAGAACTAAAGATCGACTCCAACACCACCAACAAAATAAAGGAGAACTAAAGATTAAATCCAACACAACCAAAAAACAAAGGAGAACTAAAGATTGACTCCAACACAACCAAAAAACTAAGGAGAACTAAAGATTGACTCCAACACCACCATTAAACAAAGGATGAAATCAGGAGCTATGGAAGGGTAAGTAGTTCCTGCTCTACTCATTTGATCTTAAATATTGCACCTGGTAAGTAAAAGATTGTCATCTTTAATATTGCACCTGGTAAGTAAAAGATTGTCATCTTAAATATTGCACCTGGTCAGTAAAAGATTGTCATCTTAAATATTGCACCTGGTAGGTAAAAGATTGTCATCTTAAATATTGCACCCGGTCAGTAAAAGATTGTCATTTTTAATATTGCACCTGGTAAGTAAAAGATTGTCATCTTTAATATTGCACCTGGTAGGTAAAAGATTGTCATTTTTAATATTGCACCTGGTAGGTAAAAGATTGTCATCTTAAATATTGCACCTGGTCAATAAAAGATTGTCATTTTTAATAATGCACCTGGTAGGTAAAAGATTGTCATCTTAAATATTGCACCTGGTCAGTAAAAGATTGTCATCTTTAATATTGCACCTGGTAAGTAAAAGATTGTCATCTTTAATATTGCGTCATCTTAAATATTGCACATGGTAAGTAAAAGATTGTCATCTTAAATATTGCACATGATAGGTAAAAGATTGTCATCTTAAATATTGCACATGGTAAGTAAAAGATTAAGTGATAAGTATTATATAACATGCTATTTCAAATAAATCCATATGAGACGGTCCTCAATTTGAAAATTATCAAGACTGGGTCATTTAAACTGCCTAATATTTTGTATATGAAGAAAACCAAGTTCACCTAATTAGTCAGTGAAGAATGACAGTTCAGCCAATAACATACAACCTACTATTGGAGATAGAATATTAATGAACTTCTTTAAACCATACACAACCTGACCTGACATTATCCTTGTAAAAAACAATCTACAATCTGTTGACACAGTTGTCTTTCCGAATATGTTTTAAACAGACTAATTATAATCCTCAGCGGAAACTTTGTCGATAATTACCGCAACAGAAACCACTTAAAGGAATGAGAAGTGCCAGGATAATAGTTTGTCATTTTTTTGTAATTTATCAATACTTGACTATTTCCTTTCGGGAAAAGATTTATAAAAGATGATATTTATATCTATTTGCAGGAATCGATTCTCCAAAAGGCCACAGAGATAATCTCTCCAAGTCAGTTTTCTACATGACTAGAAACGGCAGAAAACGACAAGATATGTCTCTGCATCGTGACATTAAACATCCATAGATAAACTTTATCTTATTCTATACAAAATCAATACCAACACAGCTTCTATGGGTACAAAATATTCCAAGTTATGATTTACCTTTCTACTTTTGTATTGTCTGGGAAATCTGATGAATATTTAACTGTTTCAATGCAACAGAGTAGAATTTAGACCATTCAATCCTGCCAAGCCTGCATTATAATGCCAATTGTGCCATTTATATTTCTAACTTAATTCACACTGTTATTGTATATTGATGCTGTAGATTAAAGGATACTGTCTTGAATATACAACAAAAGCTGTCAGAAGTTTACTTAATGATTTAATAATGCTTCAAATATTTCTTTTTCAATCACATATTGGGAAACTGCAGATTTTTCATAAAACATCATTTATGAAAGCTTTCTGTCGATCTTCAACAAAAGATGTCAAGAGCTGTAGACATCAATGGCAGTTATATTTATAATAATGTACTCAAGCTGCTTAAAATTTCCAACTTGTCTAGATTTTATGTAAAAATGGAAGTTAATAAAGTCATGCAGTAGACAAATTTTGTGGTACACAACATTTTCTCTCATTCAAAGGAAGATTCAACTATACCATGTATCAACTTGTTTCCCATACACCATAGCTTTTGAAATAAGTTCTGCTACAAGGCAGGTTTAATTTATATTATACTTCATGTCAAAATGCAAAATTGTGATTGGTTAATACAAGGGAGACAATTTACTCTATCCCATGGCAAATACTCTATTACCCTTCACGGAGACGCTTGATCAATTGTGCGCTCTATTAAATACGGATGGTTGTTATGTACAAGACGTTATAGTTTGTTAAATTTGATAGACAGTAATAACAGAACATTCAGTATAATAAATTAAATAACACATAGCTGAGAGGGTGACAGAGCAGATTGTTACCCCTTGAAAAGACATGGTCAACCTTGGCTTCGCCGAGGTTTACAATGTTTTCTCAGGGTAACAATCTGCTCTATTAACCTCTCAACTATGTGTTATTTATATAACATTGCACATCAAATTGAATTATGTTCATGAATGTATCAATATCATGATAGGATGCAAATATCATACATTGGATATGTATAAAAGGAAGATGTGGCCTACAATTCATGGTTCAGTGATCATAGTTAAACATTTGGTTTATTGTAATTTGATGTGAAGAGCAATGCTATCAAAGTAGAACTTCTTCTCATCATATCTCCACAAATGTACTGTGTTCCCCAAGCTTCATGAATTTTTTTTCTCCACAAATGTACAGTGTTCCCCAAGCTTCAGGATTTTTTTCCTCCACAAATGTACAGTGTTCTCCAAGCTTCAAGAATTTTATCTCCACAAATGTAGTGTTCCCCAAGCTTCAGGATTTTTTTTCTCCACAAATGTACAGTGTTCCCAAAGCTACAAGAATTTTTTTTATCACTAATAACTATGCCATTTCTATCAACAGCTTCACTGATTCACTCCTAACCTCCTATATGACTTAAACTCAAAACACTGATTTGTGCATTACTTTTAATAAACTGCTTCGCTGAGCGCAGCTAGATACGCCCGCAGAGGTCCAACCCTGAACAGTTCGGGCAAAAATGGACACAATATTCAAGCTTGATTCAGGTATGAATTTGGATTGTAATTAAATATTTGACATATTATAGGTTTCTGAATAAATGTAGTCAAAGAACTTGAAATTGGTTATATGAATTGAATTTATATTCAATTAAATATTTCTTGCTGTTGTGCAATACTTAGTATATTTGTTGTCAGACTATAAACAAATAAAGTTCAATTTATTCTCAATGTCATATCAGAAATTTATGAAAATAAAAAGGGAGCTTACATCAATAGATATAAACAATTCACCAAAGTTTCATGAGAATTGGTGACAGCATTTTTGAGTTATTGTCAGAAAACTGGAAAATCACCCCTTTTTTTAATGAATAAAACCCCATAACTCAGAAATGTAAAATGTAAAATTTATAAAAATCTAAAGGGAGCTTACATCAATACATACAAACAATTCACCAAAGTTTCATAAGAATTGCTGAAAGCATTTTTGATTTTTTGTCCGAAAACTGGAAAATCCCCCCTTTTTTTATGAATAAAACCCTGTAACTCGAAAACGTAAAATCTAAAATTTATAAAAATCAAAAGGGAGCTCATGTCAATAGATATAAACAATTCACCACAATTTCTTGCAAGTTGGTGAAAGCATTCTTGACTTATTGTCCGAAAACTGGAAAATCTCCCTTTTTTTAATGAATAAAACCCCATAACTCGGAAACTTAAAATCTAAATTTTATAAAAAACGAAAGGAGCTCACGTCAATAGATATAAACAATTCACCAAAGTTTTATGCAAATTGGTGAAAGCATTTTTGAGTTAATGTCCGACATGTTGACGACGGACAGACGGACGTACAGACGGACGGACAGACGGACGGACGGACGGACAACGGTATACCATAATACGTCCCGTAAACGGGCGTATAAAAATTAACATGATGAAACTGTTGCTTGTGAATTCTTTTATAAGAAAAATTGTAACTGAATATTGAAAATTTTAACCAATACCAGATTAAAAACATTTTCTATCTGCATATCTCATACAAACACCATCTATCAAGCTGTTAGTATTGATTTGTTAATAAAAGTTTTTATACTAATACAATTCTATGCTAATTCGTCATTTATGTCAAAATAATTGTTTAGTTTCCTGTGCCTAGAAACTTGTCAGGATGACTTTTAAAGGGCAGTGTTATATCAAAGTTTTTCTTTTCTGATTTCATTTTAACTGGTTAATTTGAAATAGATTAATGCCATGGGAAGGATGAGATAGTATCCTACTCTGAATCATCAGACCTTTCCATCTAAACCTACAAGACACATATAGAAACCGCATTGACAATTACATACAGGAATATTATCCCCCTGAAAGAATCTGTGACTGCAATGCTCATTGAAATAATGTCTTTTTTAGATAAGACACAAGACAGCAAAAAGAAATTTGTGACTCCCTATAAATTATAAATTTTAGCATTAACATACATACCATTTTTCAAGAAAACTCATAATCCTTTGGTCTCTGGTTGATAGCTGTCTCATTGGCAATCATACCACATTTCCTTATTTTTTTATTTGTTATATAGGACAGGTTTTGAAAGATGGTAATTGTCAGCTATTCAATATTTTTTGTAACATTTCCATGCATTCTATGGGTTGTTGTCTCTTTGACACATTATCTACAGGATATTCAATTTGATTAAAATTTGAATCAGAAAGTATGAGATTTAAAGTTATAATTTTTTCAATATTCCTATGCAGTTCAGCAAGGTCTGGTTGCTTGTAAAAATTCATCATAAATATTGATAAAATTGAAGATTTACTTACCTGTTACATTTAATGTTTTTATTTTTACTCACTTCTTCAACTCAAACTGATAAATCTATTTATTTACTGCTTCTGGTAAAGCTAAACTTTTTAACTCCCCTCTAGCTTAATTTGAATATTTTTACTCACCTCTTGAGCTAAAATAGAGTTGAAATATTCCAGTTTATTTTGTAATTCTGCTGCCTCTGATTCTGGTAGATCTGCAACAAAATCTGTATCAATAAAAATAGTATCTAAGTATCTGTGGACAGTGGACAGAATAATATGTATTAATATAAATAGTATCCAGTACCTTTGGACAGTGGACATAAAACTTGTATTAATAAATGGGATAGAAATCAACCTTAGGCAAATGAATATCAATATCTGTTCACTATTTCGGGGGTGGAAAAAATCTCTATGCAAAGTCTGTAACTGTTTAAAAATTGAGTTGATATAAGAACCCTACAAAACAGACCAACATTCATCTATTATTTCATATTTGAATGTTCCAAAATTGATCAAAGTCTTATACATGTACATGTATATGTGCAATTGCATAAGGTCGATTTCTACCCAATGCAGCTTAAATAGTATCTCAGTATCTGTGTACAGTGGCGAGACAATGTGTATTATAAAATAGTCTCAGTACCTGTGTACAGTGCACAGAATTTTTTATTAATAAATAGTATCTCAGTAACTGTAGTGCACAGAAAACTGGTATAAATCAATTGTATCTCAGGACCTGAGTACATTCGACAAGAAATTTGTAGTAATAATAAGTATCTCAGTACCTGTGAACAGTGGACAGAAAATCTGCATTGATAGAAAACAATAATGTTTTATAAATAAGATGTGGTAAAAGTGCCAATGAGACAACTCTCCATACAAGTCACAATGTGTAATAAGTAAACAATTATTGGTTAAAGTACGGCCTTCAACACAGAGCCTTGGCTCACACCGAACAGCAAGCTATAAAGGGTCCCAAAATGACTAGTGTAAAACAATTCAAACAGGAAAACCAACGGTCTAATCTATATAAAAAACGAGAAACGAGAAACACTTATGAACCACATCAACCACTGAACAACAGGCTCCTGACTAGACTGTTAATTGGTAAATCAATATTTCATCTCCAAAACTATACAAGGATATAACACCAGCTGTATGAACTATAACCTTTTGCTGAGAAATGGACCTGGATAGATGTCTCATTGGCAATCACACCACAACTCCTTATTTCTGTACTAATTACATTCTGTGACATTGTTCATGTTTAACTTGAGACTGAAGATTTACTTTGTTTAGTTGACACTAATGACAAACATTGAATTTTTTAAATGGAAGCTTAAAACTTTATTTTATCCCATTTGCATATGGGTATCATATTCCTTATTTTCTTCATCAATGGGAGCTTTCCTGTTTGGTCCAAAGTGATCAAACTGATAAATTCAAATCCAATGCTATGTATCATATATGCTGCTTTTTTCTATTAGGAAAAACTCCATTAAATGTTATTATGCCCCAAGTCCTATTTCTTCACCAAGATGAAGTCAATATTTGAAGGCTTGTACAAATACTGTAAATAAACAAATCAAGCAATAAAGCAGAATGTGTTAGTACTTGGTAAATTAAACATTTCTAAACCAAGTATTTACTCTTTTATAATTACTATTGTATGAGATTCTCATTAATTAATATTTGTTTGAACATAAAACTTATGATTTGAGAAAAAGTAGGGCAAAAAATTAAAGTGAATGATCTATTCCAAAACTTGCCTGAAGCTGAATTAGAAATATTTTAATTCCTTCACTAAATAAATGAAGAATTTTTGCTGTGACCCCTGCTTAATAAATCTGCTTTCTGTTATCATAGAAATTCTACACAAATTAAGTATGGTTTGGGCACTTGTCATAAGTGAAACTTGCTGAATTGAAAATTTACAATCAGTTAACAGAAAGTGTTGTCTATAATGTGTTTAAGTCCCTATTGTGAGAATCAGTACCCAATGTCCCTTAGCTAACACATTGTTCTAATATGAAAAAGAAAGGCAAAAGGTACTGAAGGGATATTTGAACTCATAAGTCGAAAAACGAACTGACAATGCCATGGCAAAATAAGAAAAAAAAAGACAGCAGATCCTGCTCCACTATACTGCATCCTTCATGCTGATGATGCAAGTACAAACTTGGTGATAAATCTATTTTGATATGTCACATTCAAGGAAAAGAGGACGAGATTGTGTTTTACGACAATTTGAACATATCTGTCGTAATCTGTGAAACAGAAATTCCATAATGGTCAACCAACTTGAGATGAAATTATCAGAGGGATGATTTAAACTTTACCACTTAGAACTTTTGGTTAAATAGCGTCCTATTACTGAAGTATTGAGATGGTATTGGGAATGGTTTGGAAAATACTACATATATAAGAGACTAGCATCCTTACACCCATACTCATTATTGAGCATCCATTTGAACACAGCATGGCAGCAAAGTTTCATAGGAATATATGACTGAATATTGTTATTGTATTCTTTCATAGATCTTCTTGTCGTACACTGTAACCCTCACCTCAAGGATTTATATTCTTCATCAAGGAAAACACTTTAAAATCAAACCTTAAAGATTCAAATCTTGAGAAAAGATATATACTGCATTAGTAATATCAATAAAACTCTGAATATAAGCACTCTTATATAATGTTTACAGCATGTTCCTGAATGTCAAAGTTCTTGTTGAATTAACAATAATGTACAAAAAATTCTGTCATTTCTATATATATATATGCATTCTGAAAATGCATCTATAGCTTATGTTTATAATTCCCTTTATGAATACATTTAACAAATCGTATCAGAAAATCGTGTTAAGATCAAACATAACTGGTCATAAAATTATTCAGTTTGTATCTGAAAATTATGTTTAGTTCAAACATTAAGATGTCGTTTTATAAGATTTACCAAAACAAATATGTTTTAAATGGCTGATTTCATTAAATTCTCTTTTACAAACCCATGGATTTAAATAAACAAATGTGTTCACTTATTTTCCTTTTCACACTACTTATGCAGAATATTGACATTGGCTAAAAGTACGTCAGTTCTTTAAATTGACTAACGATCAAGAATCTTGGATTAATCAAATTTGCTAAGACCAAAAAATTGCTGAACTAAAAATCAATCTTCACACAGATTATTTATCAATCTCTTGGTTTAATATTTGTATTTCAATTTTTGTCTCTTAATTTTTAAATTGCCTTCAACAACCTATAAACAGAAACTACATCTATAACATGCCCAAATTCAAGTATAGAACGTCATATGTGGTGACAATTAAAGCAATTTTTATTTGTATGACCTAAAGCTGTCAAAACTGTCATATGAGTTACCATACAATACACAACAAATGTTACTCCGATCATAACAGCAGTGACGATTTAAAATACTGTTAGAAACTTCAGCCTCAGGACATTTTCTGTAGTTTATATTAAATCTGACCTCAAATTGATATTTACATTAGTAAGCCATCAAATGATATATAAAAATGTCACATTTGTAGATTTATAACTCATCAATTTTAGATTTTGTTGTTATAAAATCTGAAATCTTCTATTTGGAATGAAACAGACCTTTGTTACAATTCATGATCATTTCAAATTTAAAATGAAAATAAAAAAAAATTTTTTCTCTATAATTTTAATGTGAGGACTTTTATTTAATTTATTAATACAGATTTTCTTATGTTGCGCACGTCTTCAAGAAAGCAACCCTTGATCGCATTTGAACTAAAAAATATAAGAAGAATGTGTCTGAAGACACGAATGCTCCCGCTCAAGCTTGCTTTTCAAACGAAATGGGAAGGACAGTCAATAGAAACACTTAATGCCTCCTTCATCTTGCCGCGGGTGCATAAAAACATCTGGAGAGCAATATAGTTTTCAACATTAGAAAAAAATATAGCCAAAACAATTGTATTATTTTTAGTTAGCCAGTCCAAATCTTGCACAAATTATATTTAGTAATAAGACCTATAATCAATCAATGCTTTGAACACAAAAGTTGGAAGGGAAACCTAATGGAACAGGGTGCAGATATAACAATAGGATGAATTGTGTAACTACATGTGTTATAATAGGAAAATGGGTGGAGAGATATAACAATAGCAGTTTTAATATCTAACATTAAGTAGTTCAAATCTTGCATCTACCAATATATATCATAGAGTAACCGATATAGAGTACCTACTGTAAGGGAAATGGCAGGCTTGTGGAGAATGCAGACATACCAATAAGAATTGTAATATTTACCATTAGGTAATTCAAATCTTGCATCTATAAGTACACTGTGGCCTGTTGGGTATCTTGTTCCACGGACCTCACCATTGTGCATAATAATTTCACTGTCTAAAGACAACCACTGCCCATCACCTTCCTACAATAGACACTCATATTAATATACTAATGCACATATACAGATTCTTTCAAAGATTTATCATTTAAGAGATAAGAATATAATTATATATAAATAATAAAACAAATGTGTTAATAACTGTTAAAAGAGACATGTCTCACCTCTGAGACCTAATCACCAACTTTAACCATTATTAATGCTGCCCATGCTGGAAAGAGTATGCCTAAGGCTTGCTTCCACAAATTTGTCACAGATAAGACAAAAATTCCAGAGAAGACAATGACATCCCATGAGAATTTGACTACAAATACATTCACACATCGTTCCATCATTCCATTGAGCCAGACTTGTAATAAAAACATCAGTAGAATTTGGAGACAATGAAAATATAGGTCATTTAGCTATTCATTTGAAAAATCAAAATTCATGGGACATTTTATATGGTATTTATAAATGTATTCTTGAAAGGCAATTAGTGTGTTGTTTAAAGAGACATAAGAACATGCCTGATGTTAATTAACAAAATTATCAAAATTAAACTTTAATTAGGAGATAAACTGCTGAATCATTAGTGTTGTGTCATTCTACATCAATAATGCAATATAAAACACCCTCAAATCAAACAAAATCTCTCACATGACCATTGATAAAATATTATATTCCTAACTTACAATTCTATCATTTATCAAATGAGTATAATAAAGCACACCTTTTTTTGTATTCGGATATAATTTTTCAAGAAAATAATTTCATATATTAATATATTTTCAAACTACAGTTACTATGAGAAAAGAGATCGAGTCGATTATTGGGGAGGGGAGGGAGCTAGATTATTGGACATTAAAATGAATATTCTGAGAAAGTTTCATTAAGTTATGATCACAGGTTTAGAAGGAAAACTGATACAAATGTCATGCCAAAAGTTAATCCTCAAATCATTGAGGCAAAAAAATGAAATAGGTTTAAAAGCATACCAATATTATGAGATAATTGTAAAGCAATAAATAGTGTCAGATTTTTTATTAAAGTGGAGATGTCATGCCAATCATTGACCATTTTCCCCTGATCTTTATTGTACAATGCATATCACTAAATATAATATATGGAGATGTGGTATGATTACCAATGAGACAACTGATGGCAGAGACCAAATGATGTAGAAGTTAGAAGCTATAGGTCACCATACTGCCTTCAACAATGAGCAAAAACCCATTCTTAAGTCTGTAATTCCTAGATAAACACTTTTCTAAATGTCAGTGATTTACACACTAGGTAGTTTTATGGTCCAGTACCAATATTTATTATGTTTATTTTGTATGGCCTGCAATTTTAAGGTAAAGCAGAGCAATTTCCCAAAAAGCACCAAATCAAAATAACTTTCCTGACATTAAGATTAACAGTACAAAGACAGCCATTTAAATTACAAACTATATCTAAATATGTTTTCACACCTAAATGTATTTGAGAGTTATCAAATTTAATCATTTTTTCTTATTCCAGACAACACAAAAATAGGTGTAAAAAAATAAAATAAAAGTTAGCTTCACTTCAATTTTTTGTAATCCTCTGTTGCTTGTTTTGAAGGAATTAAACTCTTATGTAAATGATGTAAACATCCAAAGATTGGACAATATTTCCTTATATCTACCACTGTGACAGTATCTATATTGTTATATCTACTGGAAGTATTTCTAGTGCAATGTTACACCTTATCCCTAAATTTTCTTAAGTCTGAAGAACTAAGGTTCAGTACCAATATATAAGTAACTGTTAGAACTAAAAGTATTCACCTTGTAATTATAACAGAAAACATGCTTCTCGAAACATGTACAGTATACACTATATCTAACTAACTAAACAATGCTAACCACAATAAATACAAACCGTATTTGAGTGTCTGACTTTACCAAGTGGTAGCCAGTGTAACCCTAACAGTTTATCCCATAGCATCCCTTTGTTCCAAACTTCTATCACCAACCCAGAGTCCAGCCTCATGGTTTCACTGTAACAGAAATACTCAAATAATCATACAGTAAAATATCTAAAATATCATGGTCTCACTGTAACAGAAATGATCATACAGAGGTAAATCTAAAATCTCATGGTCTCATGATCACTGTAACAGAAATACTCAAATGATCATACAGAGGTAAATCTAAAATCTCATGGTCTCATATCACTATAACAAAAATACTCAAATGATCATACAAAGGTTAATCTAAAATCTCATGGTATCACTGTAACAGAAATACTCAAATGATCACACAGAGGTAAATCTTAAATCTCATGGTCTCATTGTAACAGAAATACTCAAATGATCATATGCATACAAAGGTTAATCTAAAATCTCATGGTCTCACTGTAATAGAAATACTCAAATGATCACACAGAAGTAAATCTAAAATTTCATGGTCTCACTGTAACAGAAATACTCAAATGATCACACACAGGTAAATCTAAAATCTCATTGTCTCACTGTAACAGAAATACTCAAATGATCACACACAGGTAAATCTAAAATCCCATGGTCTCACTAGTACTGTAACAGAAAGGATGGTACAGAGGTAAATCTAAAATTTCATGGTCTCACTGTAACAGAAATGATGATACAAAGGTAAATTTAAAATAGCATGGTCTCACTGTAACAGAAATGATGATACAAAGGTAAATCTAAAATATCATGGTCTCACTGTAACAGAAATGATGATACAAAGGTAAATCTAAAATATCATGGTCTCACTGTAACAGAAATGATGATACAAAGGTAAATCTAAAATATCATGGTCTCACTGTAACAGAAATGATGATACAAAGGTAAATCTAAAATATAATGGTCTCACTGTAACAGAAATGATGATACAAAGGTAAATCTAAAATATCATGGTCTCACTGTAACAGAAATGATGATGCAAAGGTAAATCTAAAATATCATGGTCTCACTGTAACAGAAATAATCATACAGAAGTAAATCTTAATTCTCATGGTTTCACTATAACAGAAATACCTAGAGGTAAATGTAAAATCTCATGGTTTCAGTGTAACAGAAGTAATCAAATGATGATACAGAGTTAAATTTTAAATATCATGATCTCACTGTAAAAGAAATACTCAGATGATCCTTAGCTTAGTAACTGTGGTAAATCTAAAATAAAGTAACTTCTCAGAAGTGGAAAATGTGATTTATTGTCATGCATGTACCATAAGTGTTCTTATGGAATAACAGTAATGTATTTGAGTACTTGATGATGTCCATCTTTGATTTTACTCTAATAATGCTTCAGGTGTCATGTGAAACCTTACTTTGTCACAGACAAGTTAACAAATACAATATAGTTATATTGTGTTTCTACTATAAAGTCTTAAGTAGTAAGACATTCAGCGGCTGTATGTCATGTTCAGGCAGGTGAATAATTTACTTTGCCCTAAAACATGTTATTTAAGTTAAGTCAAAAGAGAAAATGTATCTTATAAATAATAATATACTTAAGCTTGTTATGTATTGACTGTAATCATTTTGCACAAATTTCTAAGCAACCAAATATATACATAATTAAGACTCTATGAAAACATGGTTTATATCTGAATTTATCAGCAGATAACAAGAATGTGTTTCCATAGGACACCATAACTCATTTGCACTATCACATTTTTATATTCAGTAACTGTGAAGTGCAAAATCTGGATGAAAACCCTGATTTGGACCATATTCTAAAAACTTTTAAAAACATTATAAAGAACATGTGTACTAAGTTTAAGTTGATGTGACCACAACGTAATAGTAAATACTAAAACCTTAATCTGACGGACACACAGGCTAGAAAACATAATTCTAGGCGGGGCATAATAAAACATTGATCCAGCAGTAACTATGATTATATTTAGAAATGGTATCTTTTGTATTGATTTACATGTATCTGTGTGGTTATAAAGATATTTGAGATAAGTGCTATTTTCACTCATTCTTCTCTCCATCTATTGTTATTCTACTTAAGCCTTAAGGGAAAGAATTGTCTAGTGACAGAACTAGTTAACTCTACAGACATAATGTATTTTACTTTGCAGTCTGAGTATATATGTAACACTCCCAAACGTGTCCATCCCCCCAAATGTGTCCGATTCCCCCAAACGTGTCTATTTTGCCCAAATGTGTCCGTAAAATCATAAATCCCTTAAACATGTCTGATTTCACATCCCCCAAGCGTGTCCAATAATTGTTATTCGCCAAAATGTGTCCACTTTAAGACGCCTGAACGTCTCAAAACTTTTAGCGCTATTATGTCCTCAGTGACGTCAATAAAGTGTACGGCAATTCATTCTACGTTTGAAGATGTTGGGGCTTAAAAAAAGATCAAAGCCGCATTCAAAGGACATAAATGCTGAAGTTTTTTGGGCACAACTACCGGAAATTAAAAAGTAACAGAGCTGAAAGAAGAACTTCCAAAATTTATTAGTACTAATTTGATCAATTTTGCCGGTTGTTCACATTTAGCATAATTGCAAGTTTGATTTGCAACATATAAATTAACTCTTAACTGTTGATTGCTTAATGTCCAGTGACAAATATTACTTGCATATTTAGAGCAAACATAAACAAATGGCAATTAATTAGTTTTGTACAGTTAAATTTTCAAAGTATGTACTGGTATTAAGTTTTTGGGTTTGAGCATCACTAAAGAGACAGAACAAGAAGAATACATTTGCATGTATCATTAGCATCCCTGATACCAACCTTATAATTCATAACCGTTATTTCCTAAAGGTATCTTTAAAATACGTTAAAAACTGTATGCGTAAATTCCAACATTAAATGTAACTTGTAAGTAATTTTGAATATGCATCATCCTTTTAACTGTCACATTACTTTAAATCAATTGTGAAAGAGGTAATAATCGACTAGGAAAAAGTAAAATATTAACTAATTGTTGCTTGTGGCAATTATTTCATGCATATCTAATACAATAAATTGATTGATTGTTGGTTGTTAAACATCCAGTGGCAAATATTTCATGCATATTCAAAACTAGAACATATTAACAATAAATACACAAGGAAGCTCTATCTCTTCCTACACGAGGTTTCAGATTTAACATCCCCATTCTGACTGGACTTGGCTACGTAATAAAACATCCCATATAGCCAAACGGACGCCCAACTTTCGCAAGGATTTAACTGTCGGTTGTAAGAAGACCTTATTAACCATATTTCTGTTCTCCAGTCACGATTGAGGGTAGGACAATAGATGAAAGACAAAATTAAAAGTATAAGTCAATAGAAGAACAATAGCAAAATTATATATTAATATTGGTGGACATTTTATTGTTACTTGAAGGCCAAAAAAATTAACTTAATTAAATTGAGTGTTCATAAAAAGAAGCGTTTAGGCTCTGTATGGAAACGTTTGGGCGTTCTTTAAATAAATTGACAGGTTTGGGCGTTCTTTATAAAATGGACACGTTTGGGCGCTCTTTATAAAATGGACATGTTTGGGCGTTCTTTAAAAAATTGACAGGTTTGGGCGTTCTTTAAAAAAATGACACGTTTGGGCGTTCTTTATAAAATGGACATGTTTGGGCATTCTTAAAAGTGACGTGTTTTGGCGCCCTTTAGCACCTAGACATGTTTTACAGTTCAGTGACCTCATATGGACACGTTTGGGGGAATTGGACACATTTGGGGGGGGGGGGGTTGGACACGTTTCTGAGTGTTACATATTTACCACAAAAAAAAAAATGTTTTGAGCTGAGTCTAATTGTTAAAATAGCACTGAAGATCACCCCCAGTTTTTGGTGGGGTTTGTGTTGCTCAGTCTTTAGTTTTCTATGATGTGTTTTGTGTACTTTTGTTTGTCTATTGGTCTTTTTCTTTTTTAGCCACGCGTTGTCTGTTTAGTTTCGACATATGAGTTTGAATGTCCCTCTGGTATCTTTCGCCCCTCTTTTTATATATATAAAAAAATTTCTTAAAAATATGGAAATCTTGACAAATATATACTTGTTTCAAATTAATTGGAAACCAAGTATTTTCAAAAACAGTTATAACAATGATCTGAATATAAACCTATAGAAATTTATAGGCAGTGACTGCAATAATTTTAACAGAAAATCAACTGAAGCAAATATTATTTTTCATAAATTACTGTACTGAAGCAGGTGATTATAAAATCAATTCATTTTAGTGGTTACCCAAACTGTATAATACAGACCCTTTTCTTATATTAAAGACTGTGGAGGGTACATTGAACCTCTATCAGAGTTCTCAAAAATATATTTTTCCATGGTGGTCCTTGAAGAAAATCTGCTGGTCTTCAGTATTATTTCTATTGCAAAATACCAAAATTGTATCAGTCCTTTGCATAATTTTGGTGGTCAAAAACCTTTGGACCACCACTTTTTGAGAACTCTGCTTTATGTTAATGTAATTGTCATGATTGTATAGATTGCACATTTGTTTTGTTGTGTTGTTGGGTTGCTATAACATCCATATATGCTCCACATTTCCTTTCAACTATTAGTGAGAGGATTTGTTAATGAATGACCTTGATTTGATTGATATAAACATTCAAAACAAAGCAACACATTTATATTAGCCTCATTTTGAAGAACAATTCCCTCATGAAAACATCAATGAGCAATCAAGTCAAAGAGTTTTAAATAGAAAGTTGCGATAATCATCTAAATTTAACCAAAAAATCATTTAATTAAAACACTTAAAAACAAATGTTTACAATTCTTCTATTCATTATCATGCAACTTGTGCATCATCAATTTAAAACAGAACACTATAACTGATTGAAAATGATAATTGACTACCATTAATGAATTACGATTTTATATTAGCCATTTTTCACACAATTGTTACCATCATTAATCAACCAATACCATGGTAGAAGTTTCTCCATTTACAGCACAAAATCACACCAGATGATCAATTTTTCATTCAGTCTTTATTGCATTGTTTTTATTGCAGAGAAAGGTGTCCCCCAGGACGCCATAATGACTGAACACTAAAAGTAGATTTCCTACTTAGTACACAATAGCATGTATATAATTTTCTACAACACATTGTGATGAATATCTGTATTTGTGTTCTAGTCAAAACAAATTGGTGAAAATTCTCAGCTACAGTATACATATACATGTACGTGGGCTGTATAGGTCTCATTTAAATAGAAACAAATTTTCCAGGGAAAAAAGAGATTACTCAATAAATGGGGAATGTGTCCATGGGACACAGATGATGCCCCCGCTTGCATATCATGTAAAGTTATAAAGGGACATAACTGAAGGTCGGTAAAAGTGATGCTACCCAAATTTGTACTTGATCTGAGTTTTGTGGTAATAAGTATTGTGAATAAGTTTCATAAAATTTGGTTGAGGCAAACTTAAGTTAGAGAACGGAAATGAAAAATTCAGCAATTTTTCCATTTGTAAAGGGGCATAACTCTAGAACAGTTAAAGTGACGCCACCAAGATTCAAACTTATCTTTGTTTTGTGGTAATGAGCATTGTGTATAAATTTCATAATATTTGGTTGAGGCTAACTTAAGTTAGAGAATGGAAACTAAAAATTCAGCAATTTTTCCATTTGTAAAGGGGCATAACTCTAGAAAGGTTAAAGTGATGCCACCAAATTTCAAACTTGATCTGTGTTTTGTGTATAAGTTTCATAACATTTGGTTGAGGCAAACTAAAGTTAGAGAACGGAAACCAACTTTGGGACATACATACGTACGTACAGACGGACAAGTGTAAAACTTAATGCCCCCTCCGCTACGGAGGGGGCATAAAAACTGTTGCTTTCAAAAGCATATCATTACTTAAGGTACAATTGAAACTTAACAAATGGATCTGCCTAGCTTGCTGTGCTCAATATCAAATTTACATTGGATGCATTCAAAACTTGATAAAGCCTTAGTAAAAGTGTTTAATTGGGCGTATTACATTTGCGTGGATTTGGGGATTAACGGTACCTGTAAATCTACCATGCTAGTAAACACAACTCACTGTGAAGCTATAATATATTTAACTGAGCAAATATCCATACAATTTGTTGGTGTCGTTTGGATGATAAGTACGTTTATGATGGAACCAGAACTAGAACTATCGCTAACAAATAAAGGGAAGAAATCCTTACTGTTTGATGGACTTACTCACAAAATTGACAATACTTTAAAGTCAAAAGACATTTCATGGAGGTGTGTGGCATTTTAGCATTATGTGATGACCAAAGTTGTGAATTCAAACCTACCATTGTGCAAATTGATTTGAGATAGCCATGCACAATGCTTTTTAACTTCATATTTACCTGTAAACTACTATTTTGAATCAGTGCAAACCTAATGATATTTCTCGCGGAAAGGTAATGCACCTGTTTAATCTATTCTTCAGCTTGAGTATTGTTAACAGTTGTCATATAACCTTATACCTGTACAGCCTCAATGTTACCATTCTTATGTACATGCTACTATACACATTGTACTTCATTCAATGAAGCTGAGGACAATCTTTGTTTTTATTGTTTAATTATCAGCCAATAAATGGTGAGACTAACTTCCCTATAATACTTATATGGTTAAATAAAACATTCAGATAGTGCTATAAACATTGTATTGTTACCATGGAAATTATCAGATCATTTTGAGGAGGACATGTTGACTTTTATTAGCTTGATACCTCTGGTGTCTGATTTGTATTGTGACAAAATAATGAGAACTATCAATTTAATACAGACAATATAATGGACAATACTTTCACCTGTTAATTAGAAAGATGGTATATGAACAAACAGTATATTTTATAATATTTATGACATTATGTGATCTAGTTGTTTGACACATCGTTTAAATCCTAAACCTCTGAATCTGAAAATTTCCTTGAAGTGAATTTTCTCTTCTCTTCTAGTGTCTTTTTTTTGTATGTAAGTATGTAATGAGAAGTTAAAAAATTATAATTCAAAATGGAACATTTCTACTTGGTTTAAACCTACGTTTGGCCTATCTGTTTTTCTTTTCTGAGTGGGCTTCAAGAAGGGGTGTTTGTGTGTAGGCAGAAGAGGGTTGGTTATATGCAATTCAAAGTGATTGTCTATGTACTCAACGCACTGATTCTATTTTTTCTGTGTGCTATATTTTTCTCCCATTAACTTTAAAACTTTTTTGTAAAACAAAATTCTTATTCAAAAGTATTTTCAGTCTCAGAAAATAAAATATAAGCCATTTAATATCACAATATTATATTGGTGATATTTATCTAAAACATTCTAGAAAATACATAATTTTTTCATTAATTAAATTTTTATAAATTTATAAATTATTAAGAATCGAAGGTTCTAACTCCCTCAGGCAAAACAGAACTTAGAGTTTGATGGATTTCATTATTAATTTTAGGTTTTGGTCATTATAGCTCTTCATGTGTTTTGGTACTTATACATCCTTGCCTTTTAGCATTCCTGATGAAGGTAAATCCAGAAAAGCCTGTCAAAGCATAAAATAATAAAGTGTTATTATCATTTTTTATGAGATATAATAAACCAGAACATCTTAAATCAGTTCAACTAATTTGAAAATAAATGCAATGTGACTTCGTGCAAATGTTACCAAAGTTACTGAATAAACAACCTCACCCATGAATTATATGTATAGACATAGTGATTATAGAATTTAAATTGATAGTACGCAGGTGCTTTCTTAATATAGTGATAAAAACAAAGTACTTTCAGTAAATATCCTCTTATTTACAGAACTGATAAATCAATAATTCTTTCTTGGAAAAGACTACTATTAAGTTTAATGGATTCAAGAAAGAAAAACATCTGCTTTAAATGATATTAGATTTACCAAGTTTGATTTATTACCAATTAAAAAAATTCTCAAAAATTAGAAAATTACTGGATATACAGCTATAACTCATCCAATACCAGTGATACTAGTGTTTAGTGGCATCTATAGTCACAATGAAACAGACCAAAAGCTGGTGATTTTTAGTGACAATTCCTCTGATTTAAAATGTCTCATGAATGTATATTTCTACAGAATGCACTGCAAAGACTTTCACCAAGAATCACTTGCAATCACTATAAAAGATCAATAATATAAGAGTAGAGTAAATAAAAATAATGATCTTGTTCTGACTAATCTATACATATAAAGTTACTTACAACATGAAATCCTGCTCCCAGCATGGGTTGTTTCCCTTTACTTGAATTGTGGTTGACTTGACATTTTGTAATTTTAAGGTTACATATGTGTTGAAACGCTCTAAAAATAATGGAAAAAAAAAAAAAACATATTACTAAATGATTATTTTCAACATATATATCTATATACAACATCCTCTTTCATCCTTGACATTAAATATATTTTGCAATGAACCTAAAGCAGAACTTGTCCTTTAGGAGTTAAATGTCATCATTTCAAATTGGCTCCCGACACTTTTGACATCAAAGCTTTATCTCCATCTGCATCAGCTTCATTCTTTTCAAACAAGGCATGCTCAAGTTATCATTTGGAAATCATTTGTTTTGGACACACAGACGGATGAGCGTACACTTTGATAACTACATGAATAATGCCCCCCAAAATGAAAACATATTATAGTCCATTTTTTAAAGTTTTCAGTTTGTCTGTAATATGTAAATGGTACATGAAAATTTCTTAATTTTAGAAATACTGATATTGTTCAAATACCAATAATTGGCATTAACTGGACTTTTGTGAGTTTTCTTCACATATGCAGGGAGGGAATTCTTATTTTGAACAATACTTTCAAAATCCATTACTGTATTGAGCCTAATATTGAGTGTAAATTTAGAGATATCATTTCAGAACACAATGAAAATAAGAAGTCATAACCATAGTTACACAATGGTTCAGTTTCCTTCATCTTGACATCTTAACAACAGAAATATTAAGTAACTAATTAGCTTAATTAATGTTTAGGGAAAAGAACATGTATTTCAGTTACAATCATTTTCAAAAAGAATGTCCAATTCACAACTGTATACTGTAAACAAACTAATTTTCGCAAGCAATTTATTTTTGTGACTTTGGCGAGTAGAAAAATAACGTGAATATAAATCGTTGCGAATATATATATATATGTAAAACTTGGATCTTTTCTTATTAAATTACATCAAGTAAATAAGAAAATCGAAAAATTCAATAGCTGCAAAGTGGACTAGAAAGTGTTAAACGCGAAATGAAGTATCCGTGAAAATAAGTTGGTTTACAGTATCTAAATATACTAAGGATAACCCTTCCTACATATCTTGATACCTTTATTGTACTCTGCTTTACTTATACTCAAGTTATAGGGCTCCTACATTCATTAATCATTTCTTAAATGAAGTTGTCCTCAAAGCAATTTATCTTGAATTTTCACTATCAAATTATTTACATTTCCTCAATTTAAAAGCAGACAAAAGGAGAACAGATAAAATTTGATCTCATTGTATTTCAACATTTTGTTCAATACAATTTGTCACACATTTCAACTCACCAAGAACTCACAAATTAAGTAAAAAAACCTGAATCTTTCATCCATTATTATCTATTATCTCCAAGCCGATATTTATACAATAGGGGATAATTTGACCAAAATTGGAAAATTAGAAAAATGGCTGTCCCTGCTGTGCGACATAAACTCTTAATGAAATATAGCAAAACTATTCATCACCCGAGATTCCATTTAATGCAATCAATTTTTGTTGATCTAGATTGCCTAGCTGTTATAGATAGAGAAATTAAATTTTTCTCTGTATTTGGTAGTAACAGAAACTTTACTAGGAGCTAGATGATCTGAGAGTTTTCATGAACAGATGTATATGACATCTTATGATTAACTATGAATATAAAACCTACATTCCTTCACGAATTTATAGGTATTGTATAATCATATTGTTTAAACTCAAATCTATCTCAAAAAAGGTTTTGCAAGCTGAAATTCCAGTGGACATAAGGTGCATGCATTATATTGTAATATTAACGATGGACCAAAAAATAAATCTAGCCTTTAATGGCACCTTAATTATGAGTGAATATAAATTAGTCACACATTGTGAGTGCTACACTATACCAGGTTTACAGACTATAAGGTTAACTCATACAAGTTTAAACACCAGGCTTTCAACATGTTCAATATGACCGTAAATCTAGTTTCTAATGTATGTTCTATTAGGCATGTACTATAAGGTTGAGTGGAGTGGGGTGGAGTGGAGTGTTGGAGTGCTGGAGTGTTGGAGTGGAGTCATGGAGTGAAAACAAGGAGTTAGGAAATGGAGTGTATTTGAGTTGTTGGGTCAATAGTTTTAAAATTAAACCAATTTATGAAATATGCTTTTTATAGCTTTCAAAATCATAGAACGAATCTGGATATTTGGTCTCAACAACGTCCAACTGCATTCATGTACATTGTACCAATATAATTTACCATGGATGCGTCATAGGTATGATTTAAGGTTATATCTCCAAACATACAATCTAGGTCGCACACACATTTAAAGATGTCCTGAAATGTGTAAGATGCACCTCGAGGGCGTTATCAAAATTTGATGGTTAATGTCAAATAATAGATTTCTATGATTTAGGAGGGGTCTTTCAGCAATTTTACCTTAGTTAACAACATTCTGGTGTAAATAATTTTACTTGCAAAGGGGCTAAACCTGCCACAATGTGAAAATTAACATAAGCACTATGGGCACTTTAATAAAAGTTTTGTGAGCTCGTCCAAAATTTTAGTAGCATAGGCTACTGTGCCTTTGCTAATCTTTTTCCCTGCTTAGTATCGTATTAAATACATTTTGTCAATGTTCAAGTTTATTATTTCCATAAAATTGGAAGAACAATAATAAACACAATATTGAAGTTTCAGATGTCATACATAATTATATGTAGATTATTACAAAAAACATATTTTGTGAATTAATTTGTAAAACTTAAGGGTGTTGCTATTGCAACAATTGAAAGTGTATATAGCCAATTGAATGCAGACGCTTTCATTCACTGATATTAGAAACAATGATGGGTTTTTATTTCTTCAGATAATTATTTGCCCTTCAAGGTCAATTGATTGATGCATTTTAATTGTTTGTGAAGAGACATTAAATAATAATTAAGATAAACAAAGTCCAGAAAAAAAGGCCATTAGAAATACCCTAGAAATTAGAATAGTAAAATAATTACTAGATATACAACATTATCACACCTCCAACTTAGCTGTCATAAAATGCTACCGAAAACATTGTCCAACTTTGTTGAATAATCAAATATGACAAATGAAATAATATAAAAATCATCGTGTTCTGCAATTTAAAAAAAAATGAAGAAAAAAAAAACAATTCGTTTGAGATTTTTATTTGAATTCGTTAACAATTTCATTTGATATGAAGTGTGATTCGTTCAATATTTCACCAAAATCCTTTACTCCACTCCACTCCATTTCCTAACTCCCATGTTTTCACTCCATGACTCCACTCCAACACTACAATATTCCAACACTCCAACACTCCACTACTCTACTCCACTCCACCACTCCACTCCACTCCACTCCACTCCACTCCACTCCACTCAACGTTTTAGTACATGCCGTTCTATTAGAATCATTTCGAACAATGAAGGACCATATGCATACATTGTAGCTTCTCAATGGCAAAAGTGAAAATCATTAATATGTATTTGGTCACTAGTAACAACTTCTTAAAGAATGAAAATCATTGGTACATGAAGAACAGTTCTCACTTACTGCACAGAAACAACTTAAAACGCCTTTTTCCAATCAATCAAAGAGCGCAACTCCAGAGAAGCAAAAATAAAATTGCCAATATTAAACTTGACCTTTGGTTTTATTTTGTCATCAGTACGTAACAACATATAAAATTTGAAAAGCATTGGTTCAACAATTTACTTTATTTCAAGAAATCGACATAAATCGGTCATTTTTCCATTCAATGATGGACCATAACTTACAATGGCAAAAGTGAAAATCATCAATATCAAACTTGACTTCCATTTTCTAATCAGTAACAACAAATTAAAGGAGATGGGTCCAGTAAGGGCTAATTTTGGCCTAAAATTCGAAATACATGTGATGATAAATTTTTGACATTTTTTAAACTTGCGTCTCTACTTCAGTTGATTCAATTAGTTTATGTAAAAGATTTGAACTGATTTGGTCATTAAAGATGCTCAAATTAAATCTTAAATATAAAAAATCTATCAAATATGCCACAAAACGTCACTTTTCAGATGGTTTTTGTCTAAAATGGAAGTGGCCGCATTCGTGATCAGTTTCCACCTTTATATATATGTTATGTATTATCATCAAATACAACATATAAAAAAATATTAAGACTGAACACAAGTGCAGCCACTTCCATTTTAGACAAAAACCGTCTTAGAAAAAATTAGCGCAAATGCTAAAATTATGAAGACTTCAGTAATTTTGCATGAATTAATGATGCTAGTACCTGATGCATGTGCCTTGTATTGTAAAAAACAGCCCATATTTATGTAACAGAAGTATTCTACTTTCCAATAAATAGCTAAAAGTTTATATTTTTAACGAAATTTTAAAATGCTATATTTTGGGGCCAAAAAGAAGTCTTATCGGGCCTACTCCTTTAAATAAAATTGGTCAAACGATTCAAAATCATTTCAATTTCCATATAAACTGAAATTCCTCCAGAATTGTTAACAGCTGATTTTCGACTCAATCCCAACTTGCTGATGAAAACCTATCATCAATCTACATCTGAATAAATTAACTCTTATATTGCTAAAAGGAGTAGATATCAGGCTTAGTGTTAATTTGATTTTGAGCCCAAACTGTCATTAGCAAGTTACAGTTAAAACATTCATTTTTAAATTATCATTGTAATAAAAATACTCTATAAATATAGATTAGAAAAAATCCAATGGTCTTCATTATAATAAATTTCATGGATTTCCAAGGTTGAAGGAAATAAAAAAAGAGCAAAATATGTAAATCAGGACTGAACTTTCAAATGCAAAATAATACATTGATAATCTAAATCTAATTACAAAATGAGGATTGATTCATGTTAACAAAAGTTCAATAAACTTAAAGCAATTCCAGCTGAAATCATACGTCCCGTAAACGGGCGTATAAAAACTCACACATTTTTGTTTTATACTACAGGTATATTCTGAAACCAGTGAGCAATTCTATTACAACATCAAGATCTTAAAACTAAGGAAACTCTTATTTTTTATCAAAATACTGGAAATCATATGAATTGTCT